GAGGCAATGACAAGGGACGGGACCACCCAAGGTGACACAGTTCAGTGGCAGGACCTGGTTGAATCCAGTGTAACTTAAGAAGCTGAGCTTGTTTAGAGGAAGAGCAGCAGCCTCCTGCCCTCCCCGGGGTGGTTTCCAAGGCCTTAGAGCTTCCGGAGGTGAGCCCCCGCTCACACCCCCGGCCCTGTGGGTCTCGGGAGCCTGCGAAACGGCTCTCCGTTCCTAGTCGGTCCTGTTACGTAAGGAACAAATGCCCAGTCACCTGCTCCTGCTTAAGGGCTTTGAAACTGCTTGGTCTTCAGCTGTTTGCAGCTCAGCCAGGTGTTACCCAGTCAGCTTCCCCCCAGCCCTCCTGAATCTCAGGAGGCCCAGGCCAATCTCTGACCAGCCTAAGGAGAGACACATCTGTGCCCCAGCGTCCTCCGAGGGCAGCACTGTGGTGAAGGAGGAAGCTGGTGCCAGATCCTCCCCGGATCCAGCTCTGAGGATGGGCACGCCACGGCCATTCATTATCATTAGCCCTGGCGTGTTGATTCTCTGCTTGGGGAAGAGAGTGCCATCCTCGTGACAGCCGCCTTGATGGATGGCCTCTGCCTCACATGTGTCCAAGCTAAAGCCACTTACGGAGCTCAGAGGACAGCCAGGTATCCGGGCCAGCACAGGCTGGGGCCTACCACAGCCTCGGGACTTCTGGGGCCAGGTTCAGGGGTCAGAGACTTGAGTGAGGTCAAGTCTCCGGGCAGACGAGGCAGGATGCAGCAGCTGATTGCCGGAATGGCCTGGGTGCCTGCAGCACCTCTGGGGGACATCCTGGGGGCGGTGGGGGGAGGGGCGGGGGCTCCCAGGAGCATTCTGCCCCGCCCCCCTCCAGGCAAGGAGCGCCCTGCCCCATGCTCCCCAACTCCAGGGGTGCCCGGGCAGGCGGTCCAGCTCATGCCAGCACCACGCAGACCCTGGAATTCTGTGAGGAAAGCGGAGCCCTGCCCGGGCCTCACCCACGTGGCCATGGCCCGGAGGCTAGCGCAGTGTCAGCCACACTTGCTCTGCTGCTGGAGGCCCCGGGAGGCGCTCCTCCCTGTGCACCCCGCAGCGCAGGCTGGCCCTTCCTCGCTTACCCGGGGATGGGTTTGGGCACGTGGAGGATAGAGCTGGAGCAGAACCCTGGGCCCCACCCTCAGACCCCTGCCCGTCCCCCCACTCTGTCCCAAGAGCAAGTCAGCTCCTCCTAGGAGGCCCCGGCCCACCTGTGGCTTCCGGCAGCCAGTGAGGCCCCAGGGGAGGGGGACTCAGGCGGGGAGGAACCCCCTGCCCCACTCTGAAGGGAGTGTGGCTGTGAGGGCGGACAGCGTGAGGGCCAGGCTGCTTACCTGGCTCTTGCTGGCGAGAGGGGAGGAGCCCGAGGACTGGACATGCAGGAGCCGGGGGGCAGGTTGCGCCCCCAAAGCCGGTGGACATGGTGAGGCCGGCGGCTGGAACTCAGCAGCAGCCAGAGTAAGCAGGTGAGGGTCGCACACCTCCTAGGCCAAGTCACTAGGGTGGGAGCTTGGAAATGGAGATGTCCCCGGTGTGGGAGGGGGCCTGCCTCCAGCCCCTCCTCCTCTGGCCTCCTGCTGCCAGAACCTTGTCCTGAGGCCCGGTCTCCCTCTGCGACCCCCGGCTGGTCTTCTGCCCATGGGCTTGGATAGGACTTGGACTCCTCCCACAATGGGGATCTCATCACCTGCCCTGCCGCTAATGTGGCTGTTACCAGTTCTCTCTTTTATTGTAATTTGTCTCTGCAACTTCCGTCGGTTGGGCTGACGCTGGGCTCCCAAGGGACAGGGCTTGTGTCTGCTCAGTGCACTGGCCCCAGGTGCCCAGAACAGTGCTGGCACGCGTGGGCACTCGGCACGGCTTTGTCAGGCAGGTGGGTGGGTGGTCCTGGCCGAGCTGTGAGTTACACGAAACAAGTGCAAGTTTTTCACATGGGCTGTTACTTCAGCTATTTAAAGAGAAGTCTCTTGTCCTGCCTCCTCACCTCACAGCTGTGCCACCCAAGGCCGACAGCCACTCCTCATGTGACATGTGTCAGGCCCTCACCTCCTTCCCCACCACAGAATCATCCCTGGCAACTCGCTGCATCTCCTCACCCCTTGGAGTGTGAGTTCCAGCGAGGTCGCAGGTGGATGTGGGCTGTGACCCTGGTCCCCTCCCCTGGGCTCTCTGAGCACGGCCTGGGAGGGTCAGAGAGAAGCCAGGCACCCCTGCCCTCCGGGAACTGCAGGCCCTGGTCAGCAAGACGTCAGGGAGCGCTCACTGCTCTGTCCAGTGTCTGTCCACGCCTCCCACACAGCCGTGGCCAGGTGGGCACAAGGGTCTCTGGCGGTGGCTGGCCACGTCTCCGGCATCAGTGTGCTCGTTCAGAACCCTGCTCTCTGTCATGCTTTCTGACAGAGTCTGTCACTCACACCCTGTCACCCTCCTTTCATCCTGATTTATTATCAGGCCTAATGAGTTTGGGGAGCAGCTGTCTCCCAGGGATGGGACCATCAATCTAGGAGATGGCTGTTGAACTCTGCTCCTCCAGCGAACGCGGGAGGGAGGAGCCAGGGATGAGGGGGTGTGGTCACAAGCGGAGGGGCCGGACTGCAGCGCAGGGGTGAGTCCTGATGCCTCTAGTCCAGGACCTGGCCCTCCTGCTTCCTTCCGGTCCCTTCCCTCTCTGTCCCTCCGTTACAACATGAAGTCCAGGGCATCCCTGGTTTCTTTTGAACAGGCCAGCACCCACCCTGTGTCCTTGCAGTGACGGGGACGGGCAGGGATGGGGGGACCCAAAGGGCTCCTAGGCCTCATACTTCCACTGCCCCTTCCCAGGGCTCGCTGGGGCTCCTCTCACAGAGCCAGTCCTCAATGCATCCCAAGCCCGGGCGGTGTTCCTCGGGCGTCTGCTCCAGAGACATCGTGTGTGTGCCCTTCCTCAGAAGAGCTGCTCAGCTCGGAGCGGTGTGCTCATCACATGCAGCTCTGACGAATGCCCCTCTTCCCCCCCCCACTGGAGCATTAAGGGGCACCCAGCAGTCACTGGGTCAGAATCCAGGGGGCAAATGGAGCACCTCTGCTTCCCCGTGCTGCTAAGCACACGGCTTATGTAAGCTTTCGACAAAGCGGCGCAGCGTGTGGCTGACGGGACTGGGGCTCACGGGGGAGGGCCCCCAGGTGAGACTGTCCCCCTCCAGGGCCTTCTCCAGGAGCTGCCACTTTTTAATGCTGGAATCGCCTCCTAAGAGCCTCTGGCATCTTCATTCCTGGATAGGATCCAGCATCTAGCCCTTGGGGGTAGATCCAGTTTTTGGAAATAGACTTGAGTAAGAGAACAAGATGGGTGACTAATCCAGGTGATAGCGTTGTGATGTAAGCCTAATTATAGCTAGAGGATTGTGAGATATATTTTCTTATCTCCCATAGCCACGCCTTTGTAAGCCACCCTGAAAGTTCTAGAAAATGTCTCATATCGTCATTGACATAATGACACACAGCTCCCAAGATGGTGACTCCAGAAGCCACCCGTCAGTAGCTGTACCTTCAGGATGGAGGTTGCCCACGCCTCCGTGTGCTTTAAAAACTCCTCCTGTCTTGGAAACCTCCATGCCTTGGTGTATTTGCAGTAAGGAAAGCCCGGGGGCTTGAGGTCAGCAAGCGTGCAGGTCCCAGCACTCCCTGGAGATGGAGCGTTGAGGAGGAAGGGGGGCAGAGAGGCACTAGCCAGCATCCGGGGCTGGAGGCAGCCGTGACTCAGTGACTCAGAGTTGGCTGGCTTTCTGCCTTCTCCCGCCGCGCCTGGGGCCCTGAGGCTGAGCCACAGGGACAGCTTTCTCCACTCAACTCGTTCCGAGCTGTGAGTGGCACCAGGCCACGAGGTGACACCTGAGATGGTGGCAGAGCAGGGTTTGAATCTCACAGAACTGTCAGCCGCGGCCTCTTGAATAGCCTGTCCCCGGGCGGCCCCAGGTCCCCACCTCCCACGGTCGTCCAGCTGTAGCCATCTGACTGCTCAGCTCCCGTTGTGACCTGGCCCCCAGGGGACTCGACCTCCACCCTGGCCCAGCGCACTTGCTGCGGTGCGGTTCCTCCGCACAGATCTCTGTCCCACACACCCCTCCTGCGCTCAGCCCCAGACATCCGGTGAGCCAGGCTGCCTGCATCCTGGGCTGTCCTGTCACCCCCTCTCTGCCCTCCAGGGGTTAATCCAGAGACAGCTCGCTGGGCTGAGAGCCCACGGGAGGAGCTGGGTCTCTGCTTTCCCCTTGACCTGCCAGAGCTCGGAAGGCAGTGTCTCTGGAGCAGGGAGGGTCGTGGAGCGCCCAGAGTTAGGAGCTGCGGGGACAGGAGCGGGCTGAGGAAGAAACAAATCATCTTCTTCATTGGCAGTTTGCGCAGGCCTGTCCCCTTGCTCCCTCCCCTCCTGTCCCCTATGCCAGACAGCTCCATTCCTGTCACTCCCACTCCCAAGTGTCATTGTGGGAAGACACTGGTCTGGCTTTCTGTGTGTCCCAGGAGAAAGGCCTCCTTCCGGGGAGCCAGGGAATGTGATGTGGCCTGAGGGGACAGTGGGGAGACCCCCAGCCTCCCCCGAGGGGAGGGGCCCTGTGCCTCAGTCAGGCCGGCCTCTTTCAGCCGAGGGAGGGAGAGTGAACATGAGTTCTGCCCCGGCCGCTCCAGGCCAGCGAGCGGAGGAGGCCCCGAGAAAGCCCCGCGAGGGAGCCAAGCGGCACCCGGCCAGGAGCACGCACTCCGCAGAGAAGGCGGTGCGGGGCCGCCCTGCCCACCGCCCCAGCACAGCCCCTTCTCACGCCCAGATCCCCCGAGACAGACACTCCCTCGTGCCCTGGGGAGAGGGAGCACGGTCAGCAGCCCCTGCCGACCTGGAGCTCCGGCCTCTCGCCAGGCGCCACCACACCAACAGCTCTCCAGGGGAAGGGCCGGTTCCCGCTCAGCTGGCTGACTGCCCTCTTGTCTTCCAGCCTTCGCCATCATGATCGTGCTGGCGCTGGTCCGCATTGGGCACGGACACCGGCAGGGGCACCCGCCCCTGGCTGACCTCTCCGGGGTCCGGAACCTGTTCGGCGTGTGCGTCTACTCCTTCATGTGCCAGCACTCTCTGCCTTCCCTCGTCACACCTGTGTCCTCCAAGCGCCACCTCACATGCCTGGTCTTCCTGGACTACGTGCTCATCCTCGCCTTCTATGGCCTCCTCTGCTTCACCGCCATCTTCTGCTTCCGCGGCGACAGCCTCATGGACATGTACACCCTCAACTTTGCACGCTGTGACGTCGTGAGCGTGGCCGCCGTGCGCTTCTTCCTGGGCCTCTTCCCCGTCTTCACCATCAGCACCAACTTCCCCATCATCGCCGTGACCCTCCGCAACAACTGGAAGACGCTCTTCCACCGCGAGGGGGGCACGTACCCCTGGGTAGTGGACCGCGTGGTGTTCCCCACCATCACCCTGCTGCCCCCGGTGCTGGTGGCCTTCTGCACCCATGACCTGGAGTCCCTGGTGGGCATCACGGGGGCCTACGCAGGCACGGGCATCCAGTATGTCATCCCCGCCTTCCTGGTTTACCACTGCCGCAAGGACACCCAGTTGACCTTGGGCTACGGGACCATCAACAAGCATAGGTCCCCTTTCCGCCACACCTTCTGGGTGGGCTTTGTGCTGTTCTGGGCTTTCTCCTGCTTCTTCTTCGTCACCGCCAACATCGTCCTCAGCGAGACCAAGGTCTGATGGCAGGATGTGTCTGGTGGTAAGAGACCACTCCGGCGCCCCCGCTCACCTCCCCACCTGCAGAGCCAAGAGCTAGCTCCTTCCCAGGGTTCCTTGGGGTAGGCGAGGCCGGATTCTTGGAGGGGACCCTCCACATCTCTGGCCAGGGGTCTTCTCCCCCCACCAGGATTCTGCACGGTCTGTACTGTGCCTCACTCGCCGGGCAACCTTTCCCCCCGGGTTCCCCTGCGTGGAGCTGCCCCTGGCCAGCCGAGCTGCACGGCCTGGGCACACAGCTGCCCCAGACTCCGGGCTTGGCCACGGCTCTACACACAGGCCCCAGCAGACAACCACCAGGGGCAGCCTCCTCCCCCGCACGGTGGGGACACAGTGCTGGCTGGCACTGCCACTATTCATACCAGACGCCACGTCCCCTCCTCCTTTGTCCCAGCCCCTCGTGCGTCCTAGTCTGGGGAATCTGCCGCACAGGTAGCTGCTGCCTCAGGGCGAGTCCCAGGCCCTAAGCCTCCTCCCCACCAGGATTGCCAGGTCCCACCTTCCCCTCAGGCCTGGAGTGGCCAGGTGCCACTCCCGGGGGAGGGCCTGGCCAGCCCCCATGACAAGAACAGGAAGTGCTGATCAGCATCAGGGTCCCTGGACTGTCGCTGTGAGGGCCCCTGCCATGGGTGCCAGCCCCAGTCCTGAGCTCCTGAGCCCGTGATGACTCAGCCCAGGAGACAGTTTAAGCCCAGAGCTGTGACCCCTCAAAGGGATCCGCTGCTCTCCTGACTGCCCCATGGGGCCCGTGGGGTCTCCTGCACTACCGGGGGCAATGTATAAGGACCACGAAAGGGAGCCACCCCCAGCCACCATCACAGTGGCTTGAGAGCACCCTGAGCATGTGGCAGTGAGGGGGCTCTGCTTCCCACCCTCTAAGAGGTCAGGCCTGTGGGGTAGCAGCAGGCTTGGCTGTCCCCACTCGAGTACTAAAGGTGGCTCCCTTTTGAGCCACATGCTCTCCATGACCCTTGGGTGCTGTGGAGTGAGATGGGGCACCAGGCACCATTCTCATGGAAGGAGGGGTGAGTTTCTAGCCACCTCACCAGCTCTTCCATGGCCCCATCCCTGTCACAAGCATGCATGCATCTGCTGGGCCAGCCTTCCTTGGAAACACAGGTGACTAGTGAACTCTGCATTTTCAGTGTGCCTTCTGCTTCAGGACCTGGGGGTCCTTCCTGACCCTCCCTGGCATCCCCCCAGCCCTGGGCCTGGCCCACCTGTCCTGGAGCCCAGAGCAGCTTGACCTGGAACTGCCTGTCTGGGTGGGGCTTCAGGTCCCCAAACCAGCACCCCCCTTTTGATTTCAGTGCCTTGCTCAGCCCACATTCAGGAACCTTCACAGCCTCCTACATGGCACGGTATTCATACCTTGGACAGTGACCGTGCCGGCTCTCCTGGGGCCCATGGTGGTCTTGGAGGGAGAGGGAGGAAGACCTGGGATATGTATGAACTGGGGAGTCCACAGGCAATGCCACCCCCTGCCCTGGCCCCTGGCCGCCACAGCCCGTGAGAACCCCGGGTCGTGCGTGATTGGCCATGGTCTGCATTCTCACTGTTGTACACTTCTTAGTCTGTCCCCAAGTATTGTGATTTTCCATCCATGTGAACACTAGACCACCCTTCCCCATCTGCCACAGCAACTTCTTCCCAGGAGGCTCCAGCCTCAGTGGGCAGAGCAGGGAGGGCTCCCAGGGGGCAGACACTCCATGGCTCCAGCCCTACCTGGAGCTGCCCAGCTGTTTGCTAAAAACGCAAAACATCTGTATTTCCCCTTCTCCAGTTACATCCTCTCTTGCTTAAGGACAAAGCAAATTAAATCATCCTGCCGCCCCAGGCTCCAAACCAAATATTGGACGTGAGTTTATTAGCATCATAAAGCCCAGGTTGATTTATGTGACAATCTGGAGGCATACAGCAGTGCCCGGTCGGTGGCTGCATTCCCCTCCTCCGAGCCCGGCAGCCCCAGGCCTGGAGGGACCGAATCGGCCCTAAGTGGCCGCGTCACTGACGGTAAGCCCGGGTACTCCCCACCGCCGCTGTCTGGGCTCCTTTGCTCCTCGGCGTTCACCTACTGTCTGACCACCTGGAGGTCAGATGGCGTCGCCTTCCTCTCTACTGATAGCCAGGGGGGCTTAGAGCAAGGTGGGGGGACCACCAGGAGCTAGACAGACCCCTGATGATGCCTGTTCACCCAGTGCGTCAGGCACGCTTGGCTGCAAGTGCTTACATCGGTGTGGCGAGGTGGGCGAGTGGGATCATGATTTCCATTTTACAGATGGGCCCCCGGGGCCAGTGGCAGGGAGGGCAGAGGAGGCGGCACGCCGGGCCTGGCCTGGGTACAGATGTGGCTGTGGAGGAGCACATAACAGCCTCTACCTGGTGCCTTTCACCCAGACTGGCCCCAAGGGCAGGCTGGGCCAAGGTGGGAGTCCGCGATCCCTCGGGCCCTGGGTCCAGGGGCTCCTGCCTGTTCCCTCACCTGAGGCCAGAGAGGCGGCTACAGTCTTATGGATGGGGCAGATGGCAGGTGACAGGCTGGGAGGCACTGCTGAGTGGTGGAAGGTGGGCAGCGGGCACCTTGCCAGGCCCTTAGCGACACAGCTGTTCTCGCCACATGGAGGCCGGGAGCAGCCTCGGCAATAGGCAGACTAAAGTCAGAGTGGTGGAGGATGGGGGCTGCGCCCCACCTCAGGGGAATCCAGCCCCGGGGGAAGAGCCTGGCAGGGCCCGGCCCTTGGGCGTGTGACCACACCTGTCTCCACCTGTCTTGGTGTGGCGTCCATTCCCAGGAAGGCCATGCTAACAGCCACTGAAAAGCTGCTCTTCTGAAACCGAGACCCAGGACTGCAGGAGAGAGCTCTGCAAACCTCCCCCACACCCCGCCCGGGGCTGGGGCTCGTGGTGTCGGTGGCAGAAAGGAAGAATAGCTTCCGGAGTGCTTGGTATGTGCCAGGTATGGTGCTGGGTGCTTTCCGCATGAACCCGGGCCTTAGGGATTGAGAACGTGGATCAAGGAGGCAGAGCTGCCCCTTGCAGGCGGCAAGCCTCCGTGCTCGTCCCCGTCATCGTAACAGGAAGGCAGTTGTAGCTGCGCCGCTGACCAGTTGTGGGAACTTAGGTACTGAGCTTAGTGCCTGGCACAAAAGTGCTCAATAAAGCTATTACGTACTGATGCTCGGCTCTCTTATCACTTGCCAGCCATAACTGCTTGTCGCCACAGACCCAGGACTCACTGAAGACCCTGGTTTTGGTCCCCGGCACCTGCTGGTTTCATAGCCTCCTGCGGAATTGTGGCAACTGCCGGCTACAATTCAGAAATGGGAAACCGGTCTGAATTCTTCAGGGCCTAGAGGGCTTTGGGGGAGAAAGTGGTCTCTCTCTGGCTCCAGGGAACTTAAGAACCAAACCGAGGCCCAGCTGGAGAGTTCTGGAGCCGGGACTGAAGCCCAGGTATCCTGACCGAGGCCATCATGCCTGCCCTTGGCTAAGCCCTGTGCCCCCTGCCTGCTCACAGGCCCCAGGAAAGCGGTGGTGTGGACAGTGAGCTCCCAGGAAAGCCAGGCGAGGAAACGCACGCAGCAGCAGGGCGAGACAGGTGGCCCAGGGCCTCCCTCCTCTCGTATCCCACCAAAAGAAAAAGCCAGCATCCAGGTGTCTGGTGTCTGGGTGGACTCAGCTTGCTCTTTGGTACACAGTCAGGCCCTTGTTTATGATGACTGATCGTCTCTGGCCTGGTGCCACGGCTCCCTCCTCTCCCCTGTCAGGCTTTCTGCCCTCTTCGATAGTGCAGGGCTGTTCCTTGGTCCTCCCTCGGAGGTGCAGGGGGCACCACGGCTCCGAGCAGGAGGCTGGGGAGCCAGGCCAAGCAAGCTCTGAACCTGTAGGAAGCATCCTCCCTGCCTCCACTTACCATGGGGCTCACTTCTCCCCAGAATACATTCCTAGAGCAGGAACGAGGCAGCCAAGAGCCTGGCTCCCAAGAGCAGGATTGGCCCCTCCTCGGAGCCAGTCAGCAGTAGGCTCGGCTCCACATTTGGCTTTTAATTATCTTTCCGGTTCTTGGTTATTAATGATCTTGGGCAGTGAGCAGAGAGCAGCCTGGACCTCAAGACTCCTCCCAGCTTACCTGCTGTAGCCTTCCACCCAGAGCTGCGCTCAGATTCAGGGAGCAGGAGGGGTCCGGTCCAGGGGCTGGTAGCCAACAGTTAACTCTCTCACCACCCGTGGCTGTAGTCAAGGTCAACTCCCAGGGCACTGGCCTCGAGCACTCACCTGGACCCACATTTACCACCTGTGGCTGAGACCTGGATCTGTGAAAATCCATAGGGCCGAGGACATGACCTTGCCTGTGCCAAGAATGGACACCCATTCTTGGCAGAGTCTGGCTCTCCAGCCAGGAAAGGAGCCGTGTTAGAAATAGCCCCCCACTCCAGGGGCGCCTGGGTGGCACAGTCGGTTAATTGTCTGACTCTTGGTTTAGGCTCAGGTCATGATCTCAAGGTCATGAGATCAAGCCCCAACTCAGGCTCCACACTCAGTGCAGAGTCTGCTAAATTGCTCGCTCTCTCAAATAAATCTTTAAAAAAAAGTTTCTCCCACTCCACCATTTCAGCTGCTCTCATGCCTAAAACCAAACAAAAAACTTCAGTTTTCAGGGCTCCCTCCACCCGCAGTCATGGAGTGCTGGGAGACAGGGAACCAGCAAGAGTGGTGTGGGAAAGGGCACGGGGCAGGGGCTGCTTGTGGTGTCGGCCTCGAGTACTGCCCTCCCCTGCCTCCTCCCTGTTACAGGGAGGTAATTTCTGCCCTACCTCACCCAACTTGCCAAGGACAGCAAGGCCCCAGGCTTTCCATGTGCACACTTAGACAAGGTCTGACGGCACCAATCACACCATGTTTGTGGAATGAATGGGAGAATGAGGGCTCGCTTGCTGTACAGAGTCATTGTGGGAGCTGAACACAACCACAGATGGGAAAGCATTGACAATTCTTCACCAAGAGCCAGCCTTCTAGATGGTCCAGGACTGATGACATGTGACAGAGCAAGGAGGTGGGGTGGGGAGCCCAGAGGGACAATGAAGGACTGAGACATCCGGCAGATTCTCTGACCTGGGGCTCTGACCCCCACGAAGAGCCCTGGCACCAGCAAGACTGAGCCGTGTCTGATCTCAGAAGCTGCCTCTGCCAGACTTCCAGAGCCGACAGGCAGTTCAGAGCCCCACACATTCACCACCAAGAGAGAATACAGCCAGCCAGGGCCCAGGAGAGCCCAGGAGACTCCCCCCAGCAGACCTCCCATTCCCACTGATACACTGTCAGGCTCCCAGGTGGACCCCTGGCAAGGCAGGACACCCACAGCCCCTGGCATGAGCCTCTCTTTTCAAGGAGATTGAAGGATGAACTCCATCTCCCGAGCCCCCATGCTGAGCACATTTGTCGCATCCAGCTCCAGGGTGGGTAGGAGCCGGCACTGAATACCAAGTGGCTTCTGCTGCCCAGACCCCTCCCTCGGCCTCATCTCCCAGATACTCCCCCAGAGGGAGCTGCTCCTCTAGGCAGACACCCTGCCTGGGATACCCCCAATGTGCTATTGCCTACGGGCTGTGGTGTGCCCCCTCCAGGGATGCAGAATGAGGCAGCCAGGACCAGTGGGTTGTAAAAGATTTGTTTAATGCCCCAGTGCTCCGAGAAGAGACTCCAGACAGGGAGAGTAAGGAGTGGGACAGCCCTGCCCTAACCCCGAGTTCCAGCCTCCATGCTCCCACGCCAGGTGCCCAGCAGTCATGACTAAGAACTAGCTAATGGCGGGGCAGGGAGACCCCACTGCTCCCGGTGACTCCAGAACAGGTGGGAAGGGCTTTGCATAAGAGGACAGCAAGAGCCCACCCAGCCCACACCAGGACTTGAGACTGCCGAGGTCACCGAACTGACCATAGAGGACATCTGTCACTGGGGGCCCACAGCCAGGATTTCAAGGCAGAAGCCAGAAAAGTCCAAGTCACCTGCCCCCACTAGCCCTGATAGCGCTAGGCCGAGAACCAGCTGACCGTGAACCAGAGTCTCTGACCCCTCACACTTCTGACTCCAAGCTGGAGATCCGCCTCCAGGTACAAGGTCCAGGGAAGCCGTGTGTCCCACAGGCCACCCTGCTGACCTCTTCCAGCCCCGCACTGTCCCTGTAGCCTGTGCTCAGCCCCAGGGTCCTGCCCCTGTGCCCCGGAGGCCCCCAGGCCCCAGTGAGCCAGGGGCCGTGGCTGGCACAGGGGGGCAGAGGGGGGCAGACAACCCCCCAGCAAAGCGGCAGGTGGGCGTGGGCATGCAGGCAGGCGGGCTGTCTGCGCGGCCAGGCGGGGACCCTCGCCCACACGCCCTCCTGGCAGGCCTCCCAGTAGGACGGCAGCCGCATCGGCGGCGCCTGCGCCAAGCGCCCACAGGCCAGGCGGCCACACCCCGCGGGCAGCGACCTGGACCCGGCGAAGGCCTCGGCCACCGACCTGGGCAGGGAAGCGTGGCACGGGCGTGGGCCCCGGGCCCAGGCCGCGCGCAGCAGGGCCTCCCGCCAAGCCAGCTGCTCTGGCCCGAGTAGCGGCAGGTCCTCCGGCTCCGGGGGCTCCGGGAAGAGCGGGAGGAAGGGGCGCCCCGACCGGTCGGCTCGAGGGAAGGAGCTGTAGTGGCAGCGCTCGGGCGACAGGGGGCGCTCTGGGAGCGCGCGCCTCTCGGAGGCCCAGAGGTGCCGCCCGCCGCTCCCGGCCCGCACCTGCCGCCGCGCCTCCCGAGCCGACCAGCCCGACACCCGGGACACGTCGGGCAGCGACGGCCTGGGTGTCGGGGGGTGGCCCGGGGGCTGCGGGGCCCTGCGCCCCGGCGCGGCGCGGCCCCCGCCTGGCGGTCCCCAGCCCGTGGGGCTGGGCTCGGGGGACGGGCGGGGGGTGTGCGGCCGCGGGCCGGGGCAGGCGGGCGGCGGGGGCGCGCGGCGGCCGCTGCCCCAGCTCTCGATGGTGCGCGCGGCGCGGTCCAGGGAGCTGCTCACGCCCGCCGTGGTCACCATGTCGCGTGCGGCCTGCAGCATCTGGAGCACGCTGGCCTGGGCCGAGCCGGCGGTCAGGTCCGGGCTGGGCGGCCGCGCGGGGCTGGCCAGGCTCTGCACCCCGCTGAAGCAGCTGTAGATGCCCTGGGCAGCCGGGAGGAGACAGCCATGAGCCGCCAGCTCGGCTCCGGGACCGCGCACCTCCCGGTCCGAGCACCAGCCCAGGCGTCCCCACCTCCTAGGAGGCAACTAGCATTTGTTAAGCGCCTCCTTAACCGAGAGCGCAGTTGCCCGGGAGCAGTCTGAGGCCCAAGAGGTTCTCTTGCTAAAGGCACACAGCTTGTCAATAGCAGTGAGGGTTTGGACCCGGGTCAGCCTGGCTTCGAGATACTGCCCCGCCTGCTGCAGGAGGGCCCTGCTT